GGGTGTCCCCCGGGAGCGTCAAGCACCACGTTACGTTCAGCCGCCACTCATGTGAACCCAAACATGTGAGCATAATTTGGAAAATATCATTTATACCGTGCGTCTTTGTACGCGTCTTGACATTTACAAACTGCGATAAAACCGACACGAGGGAGGAGGGAATAGAAAAAACAGGGCGAGAATAATTTGAGGTAATGTTTTGCTTAGTGAACAATATTACCCAATCCTGGATGTTGGAGCACTGGGAAGGAAGGTTCTGGCTCTGAGGCTGCAAAAAGGGTCTGGGTTTCATTTTTCAGCAAGTGCAAGCCAAGGAAGAGCTGCCAAGTACAGCTTTCGCTCTCAACACTTCCTGCTCTTCCTACTTTGGCTCGGGAGGAGACAGGCTTCACTCAAACATCATGTCGGTTTAGGCAGGGGTGGCCGTTTTTTTTTTTTTTTCCCTCCCCATTTCTCAATGGGCGTCAAAAACTCACATCTGTTTCATGAATTACACCAAACATGGAGCCATAAGTGAAAAAGCATGACTGATACATTCTTAAGTTAAGGCCAATATAAGGTGTGTACATTCAACTACCCAGAGTTTAATGGATTGACTCACTCTGAAAACATGGAGCTCCGCCGCTCCAACAGTTTAACGGCGTAATGTTGGAGGGGGGGAAAAAAAAAATCTCAAAGTAACACCTGCAGCAATCAGCTCTCAATCACAACAGTCGCCCCATCATCCACTGCATCATTTTTATTATGAATGGTGAGAACGCACTGCTAGATTAGCACTACCTACTGAGTGCCATCTTAATTGCCCCTCTGCAGATGCAGTGAAAACATGTCATTTAGGTACTTCATAAACAGACTCCTCTTCGCAGGTTATCGAGGCAGTGAAAACACACCCTCTTCCCCTACGCTGAGGTGCAATTAAAAGGGTCTCAGAAATCCTCTTTGACAGAGCGGGGCTTAGCCAAAAATGTAAATGACATTAAAGGAGACAATGAATTTAATTTTGTTTAATGTCCCCTTTCAATGATTCTCATTTACATCACATTTCCACATAAAGGGCTGACCTTATAAATACTGGCATTTGTTCAGCGTTGGGAGGTAATCACGTTTTTGCAAAAACCAGATGGGAGCGCACAAATTTTCCGATTTGTTTCTTAGAAGGCCGGGGGAACGGCGCGTGAGGCGCTCGAAGGCGGCAGCCCTTTTGTTTCCGGTGAACAACTTGACAACAAGTCAAGTGCACTCTGGGAAATGACCTCGTAGGTGTTCGGCAAATGAGCGATAACGCGCGGCCGTTTCGAAAAATACGGGCCCCGGCTAACGAGGGACATAACGGGAGAGCGGAGCTAAAACTCTACATTGGGCCGAGTTTTAATTGCGTTAACACACGAACAGGTGCGTGGAGATCTTTATAAATGAGCCTAACGAACGGAAGCCTCGTGTAGCACCACCGTGTGGCCCCCCCACCAAAAAAAAGAGAAGAGAAGAGGACAAAATAAAGGGGAAAACAAGTCAATGTCATGAATTATTCACAGGGTGGGCTGCACTTCAAAAGGTCGGTGCTCTTTGACCTCTGTGACAGGAAGTGAAAGGGAGTGCCGTGGCCACTGGAATAAAAGAAGCTGACATGTTAAGATCTGGTCCTGAATCTGAATAGTGGTGTGAATGGATAAGGGGGAGGACCCGGGGGGTGTTAAACTGTAAAAACACAAAAAGTCAAATTCAGAATTGATACACGGGGCCGATTACACACTGCGTACTAACCCTTCCTCTGTCTTTCCCAATTGCTCTGGCATAAACCGCTGCAGCTTCTCGGAGCAAAAGTGTGACCTGTGACCCCGGACACGCAGATCGAGTCACTCTCTTCCTCTCTCTCTCTCTCTTCCTCTCTCTCTCTTCCTCTCTCTCTCTTCCTCTCTCTCTCTGGCTCAACAACATGTGCTGTCTCATTACAAAATCCATGTGTGAGCCTGAACAATGTATCTAATCTTTCACACGAGAGAAAACAAAGTCAATATGCAAGAGAGTGAAGACAGATACCAGACACAGAGAGTCATCAGAAATTGAGTTATGTTTGACTCTACACTACATGCACTGTAAACGGGGGGAGAAAAAAAAAAACAAAAAAAACATCTAATCAGATATCCGTACCTCATTACTAAAGACTCAAATTACCAACTGAATAAACCTACACTCCCACTTACTTTAAGGCATCATTAAGTTATAAATGTGACGTCTGCGGCGCTCGCTCGATTTATGGTGGAGAGGTGATTAAAGCGAGCCGAGAAGTCGCGGTGGTGGAGTTATGATTAGTCGCAAAAATTACAACTTTCTTCATTCGGAGTCAGCGGCAACAGGCTGGGGGTTTTTTTATCAAGTCTGATGTGAGGTGACAAACGTGCGCCGCTGTTACTGAACTCAAAGGGCTTTTTAATTTGAATAAAACGCACCGGCGTTGGTGAAAAGTAGTAAAGATTTAAGGCAAAACACATATAAAGGCCTCGGAATTTGACAAAAAAAAAAAAAAAAGGCTTCTTTCTTCTTCCAAAATGAGTATGAATAATGCAAGGACATCAAATATAAGTGCTGAAATATTTAGAGCCCACACTGTGCTGAAACTTGTGACAGCTGTTGGGCCTATATCTAACCGACTTTTCTTTTCCTTTTTTTTTTTTTTGTAATTTTAAGAGAATCTTTCCTCTTTGAAAACCTGAGAGAAAGATCTGTATCAGAAGTCTGAGAGAAAATAGGGTAAACAGATGTCTGGCTTGACCGGAGGAAAATAGGACACATTTGGAATGATAAGTTTCCCAAACTCTGCTGGATATGCCAGATCCATGGGAACGCCAGTTAATGTCTCGCTAGATGCCAGCTAGTTGTGTGCGCTTTCCCCTCTTACCATCTGGGAAAATGTTACAGCGAATGAACGCCATCAATGATTCACTCCAAATCTGTTTCTTAAGGTTTCCGCCATGCTACTGTTTCTCTCGGAAATGTGGCAGTGCTAGCTGCTTCCCGGTGCTGTAGTCGTAGACAGATAAGACATGCCTGATTCAACAATCAAACCTTCCCTTTGGGTTTGTGTCACTCAACTATGTTCTACTCAATTGGAAATAATCAGTTTCTGCCAGCAGCGACCGCAGCACAGGTGCCTGTAATGATGTGCATGGGAAAATGACAGATGTAACAGGGAAGGCTGTAAAACACGGACGCTTTAGCTAAAAAGCCTGTCCGTGCGCACGGCGGCGAGGCTAATTGCTGTAAATATTCTTAGCCTAGCGGATCTCCGGTGCGCTCGGGTCACGTCTGAAACCTGCACTAAACCCTGCAACCTTTTCACAGCCACCCCTCACTCTGCACGCCTCCCTCAGTCACTGGGAACCTGTGTGGGTCTGTTATGGTGAGCTGACGGGCTCATAGTTACGACATGGAGACAATGGGAGGGTCTAATGAGGAACATATGCTTTTGTGTTTCAACAGAGCTGCTCATTGTGCAAGGAAAGGGATACTCCACTCCTATTCAGACACATCACAATGAAAATCCGAGCCCTCCCTGAGCTGAGTTGAGCTTACAATATCCATCCGCTTCTCTTTCCCCCTGTTCTTTTTCTTTTCTTTTTTTTCTCTTCTCCTTCTCCCGGCCCTCTCATCGACTTCAATTCTCTGCGCGTTCATTTTGCTTATTGTACTTATGTTACATGTTTTGTCCGGCAGATTGAAGAACAATGGCGAGCGAAACTCGAAAGCAGTAAAAGGCAGCAGAGCGACACAAAGCAAACATGAAAGCAGCGGAAATTAGGCAGAGCAGGCAGCCCAGGGTGTACGTTAGTACCTGGCCTATCGTAGCGGCGCTAACAAACGCACCGGGCTAAGAAATGAAAATTCAGCAGAAAAAAAAAAATAAATCAATTCTCTCCTCACGTGCTCTGTGAGTGTCAGAAAACATTTAGCCGGAGCAACAGCATAAACACCGTGAAAGCAATATGAAGGCATGTGTGTGTGCGTGTTTTCATATGTGTGTCAGCGTGTCTGCTCGACTGTGTGGGTATCTGCATTTATCTACGTGTGTGTCTGTGTGAGTTTGAGTTCAGACAGCAGTAGCTCTGGTAATCCATCCAGGCTCCCAGGGCAGCCGGCTCCTACTTCCTGATGCATGAGAAGCCGCTGGAGTGGAGTGGCAGCAACAACTGCTCAGCCCTATTTGATTACTAATAAGAGAGTTGTCCCCTCTGTCAGATACCAGGCATTCTCCACTAAGCAAACAGTGATTCCGGCTAGTCAAACATTAGCATTGCTGTCTCTCCCTACTACGTGGTGAGAGTTACATTGAGATTGAGGCTCAGACCAAACCCCCTACCTTGCCCTTATATCTACCACACACACTTAATATATTCAGGCTGACCCGGTCATATAGTTTCACAGTGTGAGAAAAAAAAAATGTCAGTGCCTGAAAGGAAACCATTTATTCTGCCTCTTTAGAAAGCCATGAAGGTAATAGAAACGTGGCGGATGGAAACTTTCCTGAAGGTGCAGAGCAAAACGGTGGACATAAAATGTTTATCCCCTCTAAAGCCCAAACTTTTACTGGCGCCCGGCCTCGCGGCTAACCTAAGAGATGGGGAAGTCGATGGGAAAAACAACTATTGACAGTGCGAGTGTCACTGTCGTAAACAAAGAGAGGAAGGCGGCCAAATAAATCTGAAGTGGCCGCAGCTAATTAGGAGTATTCCCAGCGTGATCCTCCAGTGAGTGAGCCACCTGTGATTGAACAAACCCCAGCCAGGTGGTGACCGCCCCTCCGAGCCCAGGTACCTGGGAAAGACGCCCCTCAGCCACTCACACAGACTCGCCCACGGTTCCCACACCACGGGCCCTAAGATGCAACTCAGCCCAACTGGCACACCTGTCAGTTAGACCCGTGTGAGCTCCCTCACTCACTCACTCACTCACTCATCCTGAGTCCACAGACGCGGAAGAAGAAGAAGAAGCATCACGCGGCCTACCTGTCGATGATCACGGGGTCTGAGGGCGTCTCGTTCCTGTTCCCGCAGCTTTTCTTGTCACAGCATCGGCTAGGCAGGGAACAAGAAGAGAATACAAAGACGTCAAAATTACAAAAATTACAACAGAGCACGTGATGCGGACAAAAACAAGGAAACAGAATCACCAAGAGACCTCCTTCACTCAATCTATCCATTCCATTGAATTCGATGGCTGATAAAAAAAAAAAACCCGGTGAAAACAACATGTTGTGTTGTTTGGCTTAGTGTTGGAGGGGAGGGGGAGTAGGGATTGGGCCAGGAGGCAGGGGAGTCACTTTTCACAGCTTCAGCTTTTGTTTACCTCTAATTGCCAAGCTGCTATTTCTGAGGGAGATGCAAGGTGCCACCCTCAACCAATATTTCTGCGGGGCATTTATCAATTATGGCCTCAAAAGCACTAATCTATCTTTCCACGCACGTTTCCGCCCCTCTCCTCCCCGAGCCTATAGCTAGCTGCCTTTCACTTTCTTTGATTAGAACTTGAATCAAAAGTGCAGGGGAAAACAACGAAAATAAATACATAAAAATAAACAAATATATCATCCCGGCCTGCGCGTTGAAATGAGTGTGAATAGGGCTGATTTATGCCATATGGTGCGGGGAGAAACACAAAGATTTGGTGCAAAGCTACTGTCAGTCAAACACACACAAACACACACACACACACTATTAAAACAGTTGTGATTTACATGACTGTCCAACAGCAATAATAAAGATGTGTTTTATAGCAAAGGAGCAGAGTATTAAAGGTGGGGGGGGGGGGGGGGGTATAACTCAGGCAGGTCTATATATATATATATATATATACAAGCAGAACAAAAACAAGATTAAATGATTATTCTTATTATAGCTGCTGCTGCTGCTGTGTATATATATATCTACTTGTGTGAAAATAAGCACTACTTCAGCCACTTCTTTATTCAGCAGAAAAACACACTTCCCCTCGACTAAAAAAAAAAAATATTACCTCCAGAGTAGCAGCATATTCACCGTGTCACAAATAAGTGATGGATGCAGATATAAATTGAGCGTGAGTGATGAGTTTATGCATGGAAAAAGACAAATCATTCTCTCAGCTCTCTCAGGCTGCACTTGCTCCCAGCCAGAGTTGAACAATGCACCGGTGCAACAAAGGAGAGGTTAACCGACAGTATCCGAATTCAATGTTCACAAAGCTCACGCTGAGCTCCACAATAACAACAAAAGGCGTTTCTCCCTTTTGGTATCAATGACACCGCTGGAAAAAAGCAGCGCAATATGAGAGGCGGAGATTTATGTGGTTAAATGACGCTAAAAGGCTGGCTGATCATTGTTGACAGGTGGGATCAAGCAGGGACTGACTCTGTGACACAAACCTCGACTAATTAAAAAGAAGAAGAAGAAGAAGAAGAGACTGAGCCGTGGCAGTGACATGCGATGTCGGTGCGTAACTTATTAGCAGGCAACGCGTCTTTGGCGGCCGTAAATGATGACGTGCATGGTTTAAAGATGGGAAAATACGTTACAAGCGAAAAGAAGAAAAAAAAACCAAAGTATAACGTATGCTCGGTGTCACTGGCTGTTTATGATGCGGTCGGTGTTCCTTCAGTGGAGGAGACAGTCACTTCATTCTCACTGTCACATTCATATTCATATCAAAGTTGAATCACAGCATATCAAAAGTTAGAAATGACAGCAGCTCGCTGTGTGTGTGTGTGTGTGTGTGTGTGTGTGTGTGGACACTCGTGGTTTCAGCTGCATTAATCTCAAGAGTGTCAACAGTTGTGGAAATGGATTGATTGAGTTGGAAGTGTTCATAAAATTTGTGAAAATAAATTTAAATAACAGAGTTAATAAATAATAATAATAATAATAATAATTCAGTAGCACTGCTTACCTGCACATGATTTCGTGGGTGAGGAGGACTCTGCACATTTCTGGATTCTTGTCCTGGCCTTCATAAATTATGGCCTTTGAAAGGGGAAATTAACGTAAAAAAAAAAAAGAAAAGAAAATTAAGAGTCATCTCCTAAAACACACACACACAAATCACCACACTGTTTCCTGTCACCACACGATTAACTCTGAGCTCAAACACAGACATTAACGTGTGGTGAACGTCTCCACGCTCTCTTAGAGAATTGTATAATTTTATATAAATGTCACAGTGATTGAACATTTACAACAGAGACAACAACAAAATAATAATAACAATTCACCAGCATGTACAGTTATACTTTGTTTTATTAACAACGCCATCATTTTTTTTTTGGGAGAGAAAATAAATGATGGCAGTGATTTTTGAAAATATAACCAAATGTGTATTTTTTTTGTTATTAATCTGGATATTATCCTGTGGCTCAGGCAGGCAGGCAGAGAAGGAGGGATTTTCATAAGGAGAGATCCAATAGAAGTGTCATCAATATGCTTATAATCTGGGGATATTTGGGGGAAAGTGTTAATGGGCAATCTGTTGTTTATTTTGAGCCGCTAACAATGATCTTTCTGTGGATAAAAAGCGGTGTCTGGCGGTACGGTTGAGTAATTTTTGAGCATTGGCTGAAACAGAGTGTATGGAGCTATCAGTTCTGCCGCTTCTCTCTCTCTCTCTCCCTCTCTCTCTCTCTCTCTCTCTCCCTCCCTCGATCCCTCCCTCCTTCTTGCCTTTTTCCTAAGGATAGAGACTCTTGACTCCTTCGTATACTGTACCGGCACCGAAGTGCAAACACAGGCGGAGAGTATCGACTCACCAGCGACGAGGAAACGGTTCCGGGAAAAAAATGTAAAAAAAAATAAATAAATAAATAAACGACGCCGCAACAAATTGTAAATTATAACATTAAATTAATGAGTGATTTTTTTATTATTACACGCGCAGTATAAGCAATATGAGAAAGAATTTGTCAAATTTGCACAAAAAAATTAATAATTATAAAAAAATAATTCTTATTTTTATTAAGCTGTTTTACTTGACTTGTTGTTTTTTTGGGGGGTTTTTTTCCCTCCTCGTTGTGAAGCGGCGATGATCTATTTGGGTGTGATTTATGTTGCCATTTGCAGCAGTAGAAACAGAAATCCATAAATTGCTTGTTGTGCATCATTGACTGGGATCATTCGCACAGGAATGTTGTCTGTGACCAGGCGTCACGGCTCTATCCAGAGAACACTCACTCACTCACTCACTCACTCACTCACTCACTCACTCACTCACTCACACCGTGCAGGGCGCTGTGTTTAAACACGAAGGAATGGAATAAAACACCACTCTCTTCCCAAACATTATCAGCACACACGACATCTCTGCGGTCACACGCAGGTTACCATATTTGTTATTCATTTTAAAACGCGTCTGAGAATTAAATAAATTCCGGTATAAAAAAAACCATCACGTATAAATATGAATATCAACGTCTCTCTGTGAGTAATATATATATTTTTTAAAATATTTTTTTTCACAGCGTCAGCACTGACTTTGCAGGACAAGTCAAGTTACATCATGTGAAATTTCAGACTGAGATCATGATTTAAATCAGGGGTAGAAAAAAAAATACTTTGGAGTCTTGGCAATCTGATACGACCGCGCGTAAACAGTGGTAATGGAATATGTCTGGTCCTGTGACGGTGGTAATTTGATTTTTACAACGTGACACATTTGGGATCCGCAAATAAATATTTTTACTTTCTTTATTTTTGTTTCCAGTGGGCGACGGTTGTAATTTTCTGCGGCACATTTTTCTTTTTTTTCCCAGTTTTATTTTTGGACAGGTCGTGAACTACACATGTGGTCGGAGTTACACTGCGTGTAAAAAAAAAAAAAAAAAGGAAAAAAGAAAGTGTCAGAGCATCTTACCTGTTTTGTCATGGAATCGATTAACCGTATGTAAAGATCCTGTTCTGTTCTGACGCCTGGGAGAGAGAGAGAGAGAGAGAAGAAATAACACATTCACACGTGTGTGGATTTAGAGGAATACATTTAAAAACAAACAAACGGTATTTGAAAAAATATATATAAAATCCAGGACAATTTCACCTAAATTCCCAACAATTTAAATATAGATTTATATGAAATTATTAATATTGTTTATAATATTAATATTGATATTTTTACACGGGTTGAATTTGAACACACACAAAAACCCCCATCACTCACCGTTGCTGTACAATAACTGTAGTTTGTAATGTATCCCATTGTTTGTTTTTTCGCTGGTTGGTTCCTGCAGAAGACACGACACAAAATCAGCATCAACAAAACAAGTGCCAGTGACATATTGATAGCGTGTGTGAGTGTGTGTGAGTGTGTGTGTTTTAAAAGCAACAATAATATTTGCAGTTAGTGTGGAAATCAGAAAAACACACTCTCCATTCCATCGATGTATTGACTCCTTTTTTTTAATCAATATCACACCAGACTTCCCCTGGAAACCTATTGGTATTTTTTTCACAGAAAGATTGCATGTTTTTGCTATTTATTTATTTTTTTCAAATACACATCTTACTTTTTCCTTCTCCACAAAGTCCACAAAAGCTGTCCTTTCGATCTCCACGGGCTGACCCTGTCTGTCATACAGCGCCAGGACGAAATGGAAAAAATTGGATTTTCTGAGGTTGGAAGGGGGCTGCTTTTCGTAATGTGCCCGTGCCAAGCCCACGCCGCTGCGGGGAGAGAAGAGGAGAGCATGTCGGTTAAGCAGCGGACACCGGGGACAGAGGGGCTGATGGAGGAGAGAGGCTGATGGAGGAGAGGAGAGGAGAGGAGCGAGCGCGGCTGCCGAAGCACGCTCGGGTCTACGGGGGGAGAGATTTCTTGATTTGTCACAATAATGGCTAATCTGTTGTAATGAAAGAAGGCAAAGCCAAAGGGGGGGCATTTATTGGGAGACCGTAATTGATACAGAGTATTCAGGGGATTGAGGGGTCGATATGATGAGGAGGGAGAAAATGCGTGAGAAAAAGCGAGATGCTTTTTTGGCATGCGTACCTTTGGGCGGCTGTGTTTGCGTCCACCACCCCAGCTGTGTGCATCCAGGAGCGGACCGAGTTCAGTCCACCCAGCGGTTCTTCCTTCATCGTCGTCCCACCCCGCGGTATAGTTTCCTGAATCCCAAACATTTAGGACAATTTGTGTCGGAGAGAAGAAAAAAAAAATGAGCCTCCTGTGAAAATTAGGGAAAATAAACGTCCAAGCGCGTTGTTATCCGTCAGAGTTGGGCTGCGTGGGTTTTTTCTTTTCTCTCTCTCTCTCTCTGTCTCTTCTTTCAGCGGGGATCAGCGGTGAGAGCCGGTGAGAAAAGCCGGTCCACAGGTCTTGCCTCCCTCTTCAGTCCGGCCGATGTGAACAATTCTCAAAGTGCTGTACTTAGTTAGAGCGGTATCCACAGACTGCACAAGTGAATTGTTCAATAGACGGGATTTGCCTGTGCGAGTGTGTCTTGCTAGTGTTCCTCTTTTGTTTTCTTTTTCTCTTTTTTTTTTCCTCCTATTTTCGTGCTATTCACAGAAAAATCGATGGCATTTGTTTGTGTCGGTGGGTGATGCTGCTCTCAGAGTGCCCACATCCCTGAAGCACAGCGCATCCAAAACCTTCAGGACTTGTTGTTGTTGGATAAAAAAGCCCACTCCTGAAAAGGTGCTGCTGCTGCTTCTCCACAAGACAAACACGGGCGAAGGCTGATCACCAGTGGAGGTGTTCCTGGTACACAGGAGAGGTGGAGAAGGGGCCCTTTCGCGTCGTGCACGATGGATGGGAACATGCAAAACTAAGCCCTCTTTCCCCGAGGACTGAAATCTTTCCCGGGAGCCAAAACTCTAAACCCACGGGAGAGGCGCTGTCAGAGTATGACGCGTTGTGGGCGTGGTTTTGCCCATATTTGGCAGCGTGACGCTTCCTGTGCAAGCGGCGGCGGCGCTCCAGCAGCAGTGGGCTGTGCAGAGCAGCAGCCCGACTGCACTCACTCGCTCCACTTTTCCTCTTGCTTTAGGCCCCTATATGTGGTGAGTTGGATTTTTTTAAAACATATGGAAAATTGGTGTTGAGCATCACACATTATGAGGGAGAAAATAACCAAAAAATATACATGATATTAACTTTTAAAAAAAAAATAAATGTCGGGATTGATGCTTAAGAAAATGAAGGTGGCCTTTTTAATTGGAAATTCGTATCGTAATTAAACGGAATTATTACATTATTCGGATTTAATTCATTTATTCGATGCGATGTGTTGTTATTAATATGAATCAACTTTTTTTTAAAATAATTTCAGACAACAATTATCTTCAAGCCCAAGTGATAAATCATATTTCATTTTTATGACATCTAGGAATTTCATCGTGATCTCTTAAAAATCCACGCGCGCTGTATTTTCGTGTACACCAGCGGCAGGGTTGCGCGTTTGAAGGCTGATTTCTGCAACTTTTTTTGAATGAATAATTTTGCATCATCTGATACAGATGACTTCCACTTGTTTGATTACGAACGGGATTTTTTTTTTTTTTTTTTTTTTGCCTTGAACGCATCAAACAGAAGCGAGCTGTGTAAATCAGCCACGGCCAACCGTGTCTGTCATGTCAAAACGAATCAGTCAGATAAAAAAGTCACATCCTCTGACCCTCCTTTACGGAGACGGTGTTTCCTTGACATTAAAAATGGAAACAAAGTTGAGCAAACGCCAGTGCGTTGCGTGCTGGCGCGCGCGCGCGCGTGTGTGTGTGTTCGTTTCACGCGCGCCACGTAAAATCAGCAATGATGATCAGATACAGCTTCATCATTTTATTATTAAGGAGCCGAGTGTCCGAGTGTGTCCGAGGAGCAGGCGGGCAATTCGGTTCATTAGTGGTGAAAAGGAGGAGAGGATGGAGGGAGCGGAGGAGGGAGGAGGTGTGAGGAGGAAGAAGAGAGATGTGTGCTATATCCTGAGCAATCTATCTAGCTGCTGCTGAGGGTTAATAGCTGCTGCCAAAGATAAGTGAATTATAAGCTGTTGCTTTCACCTCTACACAATCTATTGCCAAATTGCCCAGTCACACAAAAAGATGTGGGATTTTATTTTATTTATTTATTTAAATTATTGGAAGAAAAACCAAAGTTGGAATTTCAGTCAAATGATAAAATAAACGGTGTTTTTCTTATTTGTTGAATGTGTGGTCTGTCTTAGTGTGATTGTCAATATCTCTTTTGCCCAGAACTCCCTCTCTCTCACTCTCTGTGTCTCTCTTCTATTTGCGTGCTGGCTTCTAAATTTTTTTTTTTACTTTTTTTTATTATTTTTGCACTGTTCCAGGCCGCTTATTAGAACTTAACCCCTGATTACACGCAGCGAGGCGATTTAAATCTGATTATCAAATTAGGAGACTTTGGAGACAAATCCTCTTAGATCTGATACTGTTGACTGGAGAGGGAAAATGGAGCTCCACAGCCGTCACGTAGGTAACGATGCTGTCCTGAAAGGGACTTTTAAACCGTATTTGACAACAAATGCAGCTGCCCCGCTATTTCAGACGATATTAGAGGAGGGGGTGGGGGGGGGAATGAATGCAAATCTGTGTGCAGGGGCCATCTGGACGTGGAGAGAGGGAGTCAGCTGCTGCTGCACACACTGAGGCGCACGGAGCCTGCATCCGTCTCAGCTCATTCTGTGGGATCATCTGCGTGGTGGTGGGCTTACACCGTGGAAAATGCGCTCTCCATCATTAGGTGAAATGTTAGCATCAAAATAAAAGGGGAATGCTGATCCCTGTTGGTTTTACCGGCTGTTTGAGTGAGAAGTTCGTACGACTGTGGAATTAAGAGGAGCTGAGCCTCACGGTTTCACTCATACTAATCACAAATAATAATAATAATAATAAAAAGTTGTTTCTCCCTCTCCCCCCTCTGGAGCTGGCACTAGAGTGGAGATAAGTGATGCAGTGTTCAGTCTCAGTGTGCATGGCTGCATCTCTCTCTGCACAGGGAGGCTTTAAATGACCGCTTGATGACACGGGACCTGTTATCTCATGCTTCTTTTCAGGGGCCACAATGACCGAACCCCCAAAAGATTTGCAGCATGAGCACGAGTGCGGTTTCTAGGAGGTGGCCCAGGGTGTCAGCTGCCACCCAAAAAAAAAAAAAAAAAAAAAACACTCCAGTTGCCACTCTATTTGTATAATTTAAAAAATAAAAGTATTTTTAAACGTTAAAATACTGTGACATCTCCAGAGGATTTCAATGTCAATCCTTCTGTCTGTAGGTTTTCATGTATTCCAGAATATGCTGTATATCCACATGGGATACAAGTTGGAAGTCACATATAGAGTTGAGTGCAGATTATATTCTTTTTTATATATATATTCATCGTCTAATTAGGATTAAATCAATCAAGCAACATTCTTTTATTTTTTATTTTTCCAAAACTGCTGACCATTGATCTTAAACTCCTGGACTGTCCACGCTGACATGGAAGACCTCCCGACTGGTTGGAATGAGCCTCCTGGTATTGAGGGTGACGTCTCCTTTTTTTTTTTTTTTTGTATGAATTTACGGGGCGAGGCTCTCATCATCGCCTTAAATTTGCATGTAAATGGCGACATCAGCCTATACGCGTGCCAGGGGCCAGCGGGGCCTCCCAGATGTCAAGGCAAAGTCAATCAGCCGGCCGCTGCCCAGCTGTCCATCCATGCACTTCTCTGGGACCACACTTTCATTAGACGCTCACCTGCATTGTTTCCTAATGGATTGATTGGCAACAGGAGAAAAAAAAGGGGACAAAAAATAAAACAAATAAAAAGTAAAAAAAAAAAAAAAAAAGTAATCTTATTAGCAGCCAATGTGTGTTGCTCAGGGCTTTATCTGTGAGTTTTAAAGGTGATCTTTATTTTTTCCGATTAAATATTAATCAAATACGCCTACAGTTACGCATCATTTCAAATTCCATATGGAACAAATAGGCAGGCAGCCCACTTATTGTTTACAGCGACTGGAGCAGGAGCGGCTTCTGTGTTCCATTGTTTTCTTTATGCCTTTAAAACTTGAAGAATGAGCCTGAACTTCAGTTTTATTTATTTATGTTTATGTGAGCGACTGCGTGAAAATCACACATAAAATGTAAGAGGTGGAGGCTCGGCAAATATTTGATATTTTTTATTTCACTGGTTGCTTTATTTTTTTATACGTTTGCATTGGCAATTTTTTTTTTTTTTTTTTTAGTATTTATTCATGTTCTCTTCGATTAAATTAAAATGAATTAAGCCAAAGCGTAGTTGTGTGTTATAAAAACCAAATGCTTCCTGACAAACTTTTTTGTGTGTTTTCAGAAGATGCTGAGGCTGCACTGCACGGCTCCCTAATAAAGGAGCGTCGGGAAGTCGATATGACACGTTGAGATTTGATATTAAAACGCTCCTATAGCACTTTTTTTTTATTATTTCTTTAATTATAGGCAGCGGAACACAAATGGCCAAGAGTGATGAAATCAATCTGATGTGGCTCTCCGGTGTCAGCTCCGGCTTATGGAGCTGATAGACGGACAGCGCCCCTCGTTGGTTACACTTGAGATCATTGTGTGAACGCGGGGAGGCAGCTGTGCTGCTGCAGGAGCTCAGCATAGGTTTGTCCAACTGAAACACGCGCGCGCGCACACACACACACACACACACACACTCCCTAGACCCCCGAGTGGACAAAAAAATTAATATATATACCACAAATTATCTCAAATATAATTAATCTACATTTTGCAAGGGAGATATTAAAAATAATTTACGCCTTCGACTATTTGAAAAAAACAAATTAGATTAACAAAACAATATTAAATGAGCTCTGTGTGCATAATAAAATATATTAGGAACGGACCTTATAGGTTACCGTGCAACAATTAATAATGAACTATTAATCAACGTCATTATTGTTGTTGTTATTATCAGCATCAATAATAATAATAACAATAATAATAATAATAATATCAGTGTCGGTGTTGTTGTGGTCGGTATTGTCCGTCACCATGATGCGTCTGTTGTGCAGCCTTGTCCAAAAATGACGCCCAGCGACAATAATACAGTATATAAGCGGCGGCTGCGGCGGTGACCTCACATGTCGTCACTAACTTCTGTCAGAGTGCTGGTGTTAATTGTGTGCACTGGTGAGTTCTGTCAAGGGCATTGCCCGTGCGCACAATTTGCATTTCCATTCTGCTGTGGAAAATGATGAGAGACTTTCTGCGCGGTTTAGAGCCTCGCGGCGCAGTCTGTGGGCGAATTACATTTAAAGAAGGCGAGAGAAATTAAATAAGAAACCGAGACCACTTCAGGGCTATTAACATCTAAAATATCCCCTGGAAATTTAGACCAAAATACACATGACCAAATACCCAGGACACCTCCGCTCCCATGCAACCCCGTCTCGACTGCGTCCGTCAGTGTTTTGTGCGCCTCTGAGAAATTCTTTATTTAAAAAAAATAAGTGATGGAGCAACATTTCTGACGAAAGCGGAGGTGAATTTGGTTATTCAGCCCTGAAATGGACCGTATTAACGCCTGGCATGCGCACCAGAAAAAGACGAGATTAAAGATTACGCACACTGCCCCATCTGTAAGTATGATACGGGCACATGTTGCACCGACCACCCTGGCCTCCAGAATAGGAGCTTTAACCTTGGCGTCTCCGTGCGCAGGCTGCAGCCTTTGACTCAGCAGCAGCAGCAGCAGCAGCAGCAGCAGCACTCTGGAGAACTTTCATTTTCCCGTTGACCCCTGTGACGGCGGCTCCAAACGCAGTGGAAGTGCCCCACCTGCAGGATGGCAACAATGCTGCTGTCAGTCACGTTCGAATGTATATTTTCAACACGTTGCATCAGTGTCTCTAATTTCCCTCCGCTGGGATCAGGACCATCAAGGAGATGCAGATTTCCTCTGACAGGGTGTCTCCTGCTGTATGTGAGCAGTGCAGTTCAATTCATCACCACCCTGCGAGTGGAAGTGGATTTCAGTCAGAGATCCTTTCCTCTACTATTAACAGAAATGTTAATTATGATGTCAAGACTGAGGGAGTCAAGGTGAGAGCAGCACAGCAATAGCTAAAAATACTCCAACACACACCAACCAGAGTAAAGTATGATCCTGCAGAGGAGTGTTACTGGCAGGGGACCTTTTTGCTGCAACAAAGAGGAAGTAAATGAATTAGAGTACACGCCAGATTTTTTCTTGTGTCTTTGTTTCATCCACGCTTGTCCTGTCCCTATTTTTCCAACCTCTCCCTTTTCTTTTTTTTCTCTCTCTCTCTCTCTCTCCCCGCTATTGGAAGTGCTGCAAATTGTATAATGCCGCTCTTTGTTCTACAGAGTGGAGCCACATGAATAGCCGTCCCGAGCACACACAAAAAACACACTGACAAACTGATCATCTTAAAAAAGCAACGCCCTGGTGCTCACTTGGCCTACTTTCCACGGCAGCGCGGGGACGTGGGAAGAGGAGCAGAATTCAGGGGAGGATGTTGGTGCTCTCTGGGAAGCGTCGAGCTGCACACCGTGGAGCCAGTGTGATGCACATAAACATAGCATTTGCATTGTCAACCTTAGACCGCGTTTGCCCCAGATAACTAGTCCCCGTGTGCTCAACCATTCTCTTTGACTTTGCAATTGAAATCCTGAGAAGATTATGCCAGAGCTAAAGGAGGCAAACTCCAGGGTGGGTTTTCAACTGTCAACTCCTGGTGGATTTTATAGCATTATGACATATAGCGCGCCATCTGTTACGCTTAGATCCTGCCAAAGAGGAGCCATCTGATGTGAAAATAATGCTCTTAATAGAGAGCATTAACCATCTAATATATATATATATATATATACAGTATATACTGTATATAAATATTTTATTTTTTATTTTCTCATCCAGCATTTGAAACACATTTCTATCGCCACCTCTGTCACACAGGTAGTGAGTAAGTCCAACTTTACCCAACTTTACCTTAACAGACTTCTCGTGGTGCAGGATAATCTGAGGGCTTCCATGTACACCGCGTAACCAAATGTGGACATCTGTGAGGGGCGTGCATGAAGGAAAGCTCCTCGGAGAAACGGAGGATCATCATCTTAGTTCCCCCTCACCTACAGTACATCTCACCCAGAGGGGGTTTTAAAGACAGATGAAGAAATCCCATGCAAACACGCCAAGTCAAATCCACACTTGAAATGTGACAAGGAGGCAAAGGGCAACCGCCGTGCCACGCTAATG